CACACCGTCGACTTTTAGGTCTAGGGCATGGCGGTTTCCTCATGATGTTTTCCTTCACCATACGAGCGAGTAGTTAAATGCGCACATAGACAGCAAGTCCATTGGTGCACAGCCGGGGTCGAACCTACGACCCCAGGGATGAGTCGCACGAAGAAACCATTGGCAACACTGCTCAATCCTATATGTAGTATTACTTTTCGTTTTAGCAAGAAAATTTTACAAAGATAGCGAAATTAAAATCGGTAATATTTACGAAAGCATTCAGAAGACGAGATACCAATACGCAATTTAAAAGTTTTAAATAATTAATTTGCAGTTAGCGTAATTGGTATCTCGGACAATTATATCTCCATGGTCATTTGTATATAAAGTAGTGCTATTATGATAACGAAATGCAAAGAAATCACGACCTTGTGATTTAAACAAATAATAGTAAAGTGCCGACACTTAAGGAATAAGCATACAAACTTCAACCCTAAGAGTAAGTACATTCAAAAAGGACATGATATCTCCTTGTAATCAAACGTCCTCAATGACATCGTATTTATCTGACTTAAAAGACAAAAGAACTATTGGCAGGTGAATCACCTTGCTTGCGATTGTACATCGCAAGCGCCGCTTGCTGATATACACATAAATAATATATTATAGCTAAATTCTACACGTGCCATCCGCGAGGACGCTACCACATTAAATATTAACGTGGCCAGCAATCCTTATAATGCAGCCAAATTAACACATCTATGATATATCTAATATATAAAATTCTCGTGTCACAATGTTCGTTCCCATACTCGCCCGAAACGGCTCGACCGATTCTTATGAAATTTTTATGCATCCACCAACAAAAATAAGTTTGTTAGATAAAATTTTATAATTTTATTTTTTTATGATACAACATATAAAAATACATATTATTGTAGATAGTTATTTTTATTGAACTAAAAAAATGTTTCCTTGAAATAATATACATGGGAAAATAAAGTTTGCGGGGTCAGCTAGTATTATATAAAATAATATTTATTTTAAACTGTGTTAAAATACAAATGTGTTAGATTACAATATCAAGACCAGAAAATTAACAGAATTGTTGTGATTTTCTTTTTACCTTATCAATTCTATATTATTACTATAATTCTTTAAAAAGTAGATTTTGCTGATTGTAATTAGAACAATATCTAAGATACAACTAAAACCGCTAAAATTACGAAATGGCATCTCTCACTGACAACGTTGGTTCAGAGACCGACTAAGAAAAGTATTTATTTATTTATTTATAGCTTTATTTCAGAATTACAATATATATAGTATTTCTGGTCTGCTATACGCTCTGAAACCCCCTGAAATTCAAGGATATTGTTTTTCAATTCTTTATGTATCACGAAACCGACGACATATTGTCCTTGTGTCCCTCCCTAAGAACATAGAACGAAATCGCCAGTCTTCTATTTTGTCGCCCATGCGCCTAACTTCACTGATTCCTATTATACTCCACTTTATGCTCTCCAGTACCATTGTCAATTCTAGCAGACTATCGTCTGTTCTCAGTGTGCGTACATTAAAGGTTGCTATATAAATCTGGTTCTTTTGTTGATATTTTTTTGGGGTTAAGAGAGTATAAAGAGCTGCAAACGAAACTAAAAAAGAAGATTCGCAGGTCAGGCATTAAATTTCCAAGATTGTAAATGCACGGCTCGGGAAGCACAATGTATTTTTATTATTAAGGTTTCCCATAAAAATAGATTTCCTTTCAAACTTAGGCTACGTCCGCACAGGCAGGAGGTTTGCTTAGCGCCTAGCGCCTAGCGAGTCACCAAGCGAGTAGCTTAGTAAAACGAACGTTCTAGTCTTCGCGAACGGCCGCATTGCGCGCTTGGCGCCTAGCTAGTCGCTTAGCGTGTATCGAAGTAAACAAACGTGTTGGTTTTTTGTCGCTAGGCGCGAAGCATTCGTGGTGGATGAAATATTAATTTCAATAGTTTTTAAAGGGGAACCTCTGTGGAATCCCTTTAATCAATTCCATGAAAATGCAGTCGTCTTAAAGAAGCTACGGAAAGAGGTAGCAATCGAAGTAGAAAAATACTGTTATGCTTTTTCTTAGATGAGTATCCAAATGAGTTAATTTTACTTTAACTTTACTGAAAAGTAGATCAAATGTTTCTCTGGGCATACGCAAATATTCGTTAAACTTTTCGTCATAATTACGCAATTGTTTATACAGAACATTAAACTCCCCATGACTTGACCGTAACTTATTTATTGTAACCGTAACTTATGTCTTGGACCCAACATGGTAGAGAAGGTCGTGAAGTTGTATATTTTAAAGAATATTTTTCTGTAAGTAGCAGTTTCAGAGCTATTTTTGAAAGTGACATGTCGCTAACGTGCCGACAAACAAATGACCAACGCACCTAGCGAGCCACTACGCAAGACACCTTTAGTCCGGCCACCGTAGTCACCTAGCAAGTAGCCAGGCGGCAAGCCTCTAGGCGCTAGGCGCTAAGCAAACCTCCTGCCTATGCGGACGTAGCCTTAGATGTGCTTCTAAATTATACTAGCGAAAGATAATAAAACATTATTTGCTGATATTTATCTCGCTAGAGGGCTTTCTACTCCGTGAAAAATGTAGTTTAATTTCAAAAGTAAGTTGCTAATTAATTACAGTCGTATTGTTTTTACAAGCAGCGGCCAATGAACCAAAGATCGCTGAAAATTGCCGAAAAAGCTTGACCCACTTAGCGAGTCATTAGACATTGTTAATTTTAATACCATTCTTCATTATCTCTTTGTTCGATAACCGAAAGATTATTTTTTATATGAAAGAACAGCCTTATGTAGCCTCTGCAACTACGACAATATAAAGACGATATCTATAATTGAAAAATTTACTACTTTTATTCATCAGCTCAAATGCAATAAGTAATATAAATTAAAATAAATTTCTAACATAATTAAATAAAATTGAATCAAAGCCAATAGCTAAATTCCAGTCTCGAAAGTAATATCCTTCAAATCTGACTATTGCGATTCTCACGGCCATAAATACGATTTCTCTCCAACATAATCAATTTAGTCTGCAGAAAATTAAACATTCTTTAGACGATTTTTAGGCAAAGATTGGGTAAAACAAAACAGGATTGCTGATTTTGAAATATATGTTGTATATTATACTAATATAGCATAGTTATAAATAAAGCTTCATGTCCTAAACATTAATCACATTTGTATTCTAACAATGCTACAGACCATATTTAAAAACAAGGGGTCATAACTTTTGTCATATCACTCAGTCCTCATTTGTCCCGAAGTATTTTTAAATACGTTCTGTACTGACATACCACTACAGCGTCGTTAACTAAAACTTCCAATAACAATAGCAAAATCGTTATATGCAACATCAGCACTCTAAATATTGCAAGAGCAACTAGTTTTGTTGTAAGATGATGTCAAAGTTCTTTTAATAACCATAGCAATGCATTATCTATAGTGGAGATTTATATAATAAAGGAATAATCTAAAGGGCAGACTTTTATTTTTAAAATAAATAAAACATATCTTCTATAAAACAATGATTAATGACAATTTATATCCTATTGCCTCAATAAAAATGACAATAAACAGCCATTTACAAAGTAGTTATAAATAATTCAATTGACCTTTTACTTCCTCTACTAAACATATTCCATATACATATTATGCTTCAATGCTGACTTTTTCAGTATGTCAATCATAACAACTTTATGTATGGTTATAATAGGAAAACCATATACATAGGTAGTATGCATACAGAAAAAAAAAATAATGACTGAAACAGATATGAATTATAATTAATCATTTATTAAACATAATATTTTTCTATGTTTGTCTAAGCATATTATAATTTTTCAAATTACTTTTAAAACATGCTTGAATAAATCATTGTTATTATACATAACTTGTAAACCTGGTAACGAGTTAAGAGAAATAATGATTCTTGAGACTCCAAACTCACATTACAGCAGTACCTTGTTGGTTTATCACATTCAAGTAAAGGAAATTATTACTCAAAATTCCAATAAGAAAACTAAATCTTACCGCCATAACCATTTCGAAGGGATATTTGTGCACCCTTACGGAAGAAACGTACTCCTGCACCATGATTGCAATCACAGAAAATTCACTCAGTCAAAATAAGGACAAGGATCCTTTACACAACTTGCTTCTTAGTTCATTCTGTTTATCAAAAAAAGTTTCGATAATAGCCTCGTTGGACTTCCTTTCACTCACGACAAAACATTATCAAAATAAACGAACGCCAAACAAAAAATAACACGAATACACGTCAAGCCAAAAGCCAACAAAACAACAGCCAACAACAGGCGAACTATGGATCCGCGTACTCCAAAAGTAAAAATGAATTTAGATGAATTGAAACTGTCGTAGACGGACTGTCATGGTTGACATTTAACTATCAAGCTGACGTAGGTCGAATATTCAAAAAGTAAACTTTTTCAAATCGACATTTTCTTTGGTAGTCTTTTTGTTTAGTATTGCATTAAAAAAGTATTTCTTCAATAACTTATTAAATGTGTACAATCCTCAATTATTTTGTTTGAATGTTTTAAAAAAGATACAATCTATGGCAACAGGCAACTGTCAAATAATAAAAAACTAAACGGCGAAAAGTTCTGAGTATTAATTTATTTGGTTCGCCGTTGAGTCATCCAAGTATGTAAATTAATATTATAATATTAAATTATTTTTATTTTGTACATTCGCATTTAATAATATATTTAATTTTATTCATACAGTAAAAAATTATAACGCAAAAATACCTACATCCGGCAAATTTGACGTTTCTAATTCTTGTTGCTATCTTCAGAGCAGTCAGCAGTGAGTAAGCGAAGAGCGGCTTAGCTTAGTACGAGACGACCATTATCATTTCAAGATTTTAATATTTTCTGGTTTGAGCTAAAAAACAAAAACCAAAATTCCGTCAAAATTGTGCGCGTTCGTGCCCGATGTCTAGTGCTGAAGTCGCCGATAATTCCGTTGACCCCCCGGCGAAAAAGCGGAAGCTAAATAAAGCAGAAGCGAGTTGCAAATCATCAGCAATGGCGAACAATGGAACGCGTGTCGAAGATGAGATCGACGAGAGTTTGTATTCAAGGCAGCTGTACGTGCTCGGGCATGATGCAATGCGCCGCATGGCCTCTTCTGATGTCCTTATCTCGGGATTAGGGGGCTTAGGGGTTGAGGTTGCAAAAAATGTGATCCTTGGTGGAGTCAAATCTGTCACCCTTCACGATGAACGTACATGCAAAGTATCAGATTTGTCCTCACAGTTCTATCTTTCCGAGGCCTCTATTGGACAGAATAGGGCAGTGGCATCATGTGAACAGTTAGCTGAACTAAACCATTATGTGCCAACAACAGCATATACAGAGACGCTTACTGAAGAATTCTTGCAAAAGTTTAGAGTTGTGGTGCTGACAGGTGCAACTCGAGCTGAGCAGGATCGTGTAGCTGCCATAACTCACGCGAACAATATTGCATTAATTATCGCTGATACTAGGGGATTATTCTCCCAAGTATTCTGTGATTTTGGACCAGAATTTACCGTTTATGATGTTACGGGAGAGAATCCAGTGTCGGCTATGGTAGCTGACATAACCCATGAATATGAAGCTGTAGTCACCTGCTTGGATGACACCCGCCATGGTCTTGAGGATGGAGATTATGTCACCTTCAGTGAGGTATGTCTTAAATATAAATTAAAACTAATACTGCATACTGCAACTTATTCTTATAATACTTTATCTTCAAGTGATAGTATAAATGTTGTATTTTTTAAATTATCTTCTTATAAGTGATCCACATATTTCACAATTCTCAATTACTCATACTAATCCCTGTACATTTCATATAATCATATTATGGTTTATTTAATAGAGTTAGTACTGCATAATGAGATAGATTCCTTCATAGTTTTAAAAGAAAACTTTTTAAAATTTTTGAAATGAGAAAAAGTTACTTAGGAAAAGGCTATCCAGTCCACAAAATTCAAGATATAATCATGATTTTTTATTAATATTAAGGACATGAAACCAGGTTTTGGTGACAGTACAAATAATACTATCATTTTTCTTCAGGTTCAAGGAATGACAGAGTTAAATGGCTGTGAACCACGTAAAATTAAAGTCATGGGCCCATACACATTTAGCATTGGAGACACAACCACTTTTTCAAAATATGCTAGAGGTGGCATTGTAACTCAAGTTAAGATGCCCAAAAAAACTTCATTTTAAACCACTTAGTGAATCTTTGAAGGAACCAGAATATCTAATTACTGATTTTGCTAAGATGGACTATCCTCAGCAGCTGCATGTGGCATTTGCTGCATTACATAAGTTTGAACAAGCTGAAGGGTATACTCCGAAACCCTGGTGTGATGCCGATGCCTCCAAGTTTATTGATTATGTCAAAAATACTCTAAAGGATGGTAAAATGTTTAAAGACGGTGAAATGGAGATTAATACAGACTTAATAGAAATATTTGCAAAGGTGTGTTGTATATATATATAGTAACATTCAACAATAATGTAATGAATCACAATGAAAAAATCCTACCTAAAATCTTATAGGTTTAATTGTTAATTAATGTTATTTTGCAGGTTTCTTCTGGTGATCTTAACCCAATGAATGCTTCTATTGGAGGTGTTGTGGCCCAAGAAGTAATGAAAGCATGTTCTGGAAAATTCCACCCCATTGTCCAGTGGTTGTACCTAGATGCTATTGAATGCCTTCCTAAAGATAAGTCTGCACTAACTGAGGAAAACTGTAAACCAATTGGGTCACGGTATGATGGTCAAGTTGCTGTATTTGGTAAAGACTTCCAAAGGAGGATTGGTGAACTAAAGTATTTTATTGTTGGTAAGTTAAATATCTATTTATCTGATCATTATATGTAGTATTTTAGAGCATAGGCTCATTTTTATGTATGACATTAGAGACTATATAATAGTTAATAAACATTTTTATCCTTAATGTAGGTATTTAATGCTATCTAGATAAATATAATTAGTTAAATTATACAATAATTGTTCAATGAAATTATTTATTTCCAAGCTGCTTGTCAAATATATAGTAAATATTATATTATAATTTGATTGTATGTTTAACATATTAGATGTGTGAGTGTGGTTCAAGGTGAATTATAGCAAGTTAAAGGAGAATGAACTTCTATAAAATTGAATACCTGTCTTTGTTTAACTTTATTTTGCTAATGATTCAATCCAGGTATTCATATAGAATTAGTTGATTGTTGCTTTTTTTACTTAAGATTTCCTTTAGAACTATTTATAACATCAACCTCCAAAGGCCAACTTTTTTATACAACTACTTTAAATTTTAATAAACTGTTTGTTGTTACGTCTTGAATAATTTATCTCTGTATGACATTGATATTTGACGTTGTAAGATGATTACAAGCACTATTTATCTTAAGTACAAAACAAACCACTATTAAGGCTTCCCCGATCGTCTCTTCGCAAGCTACTTTGAGTATTTTTGTTAAATGTTATTTGTTATAAAACAATATTGCATTTGTTAGTTTATTCTTGATGTGGATTTCACACTGTTACTAGTTGCACTTCTTTCTATTTCTTTTGTTTATACTTTATAAAAAAAGTAATGTAACATTACTTTTATTTGGCATTTTTCATATTGTCTTTGCTAATCAGGTAATATCCACCTTGTCAGGAAATTGGCTAATGAGGGAAGTGCGACCCCATTTTGTTTACTGCTTTAAAAATCAAAAATAGATGTTTATAAATATATTTCATTTATTTATAATAATAACAATTTACAGGCGCGGGCGCTATAGGATGTGAATTGTTGAAGAACTTTGCAATGATTGGTGTCGGCGCTGCCGGTGGTCAAGTCACTCTTACCGACATGGATCTCATTGAGAAATCAAACTTAAACCGACAGTTCCTTTTCAGGCCTCATGACGTACAGAAACCTAAGTCCAGTACTGCAGCTAAAGTAAATATAACTTTTACTTGCCCTTTTTAATGCTGCAAAACCGTTTTAACCCCGAAATTTTGCAATTTGCAGTGACCTACACACAGATAGCATTAACAGCTGATAAAGCTAATAATAAACTTTATTTTAAGCAAATAATAATAATATTTTTAAGAATGCCAAAGTTAAATGGAGGCAATTATTTAAAGTTTGTTGTGCTCTCACAAATAATGAGTTATAGGGAGATTTAATACTTAGAAAAGAATTTGTTCCATGTTTATCACAAATAAGAGTCGCGGGCTGTTTGTATTCAATAACTTAAAACAAGTAATAATAAATCTTTGCAGTTAAGTAATTCATGAGCACAGAGTGTAAAAAGGTATATGTTTTTTCTGAAATGAGTATTAGATTATATTGATTGAAAAAAACTGTGTCTTTTGTACTATCTTAAAAAATACTGAATATTTCAGGCAGTGAAGAAGATGAACCCATCAATGAATGTGTTAGCTCAAGAAAACAGAGTATGCCCCGAGACTGAATCGGTGTACGATGATGCATTCTTCGAGGCCTTGGACGGAGTTGCCAATGCTTTAGATAATCTGGATGCTAGAATTTACATGGACAGACGATGTGTCTACTACAGGAAACCTTTATTAGAGAGTGGAACTCTTGGTACTAAGGGAAATACACAGGTATGTTTATTACAGACAATTTTTATAAGTACATTTAAATCTTCTGGCGTTTATTCAGACCACCACCATGCAATTTTTTTTTAAATATATATTTCTTATGAAACCAGTTTGTAATAAAAGTTATTTTAATATTTCAGGTTGTAGTGCCCTTCTTAACGGAATCGTACAGCTCGTCTCAAGATCCCCCAGAGAAGAGTATTCCTATCTGTACTCTCAAGAATTTCCCGAATGCGATCGAACACACACTCCAGTGGGCTCGGGATGAGTTTGAAGGTCTGTTCCGTCAAGCGGCCGAACATGCCGCTCAGTACCTCCAGGATCCTCATTTCCTGGAGCGGAGTATGAAGCTACCTGGTACACAGCCTCTCGATGCCTTGGAGAGTGTGCGAGTAAGTTATAGTAGACTGTATGAAATAATTATAGTCACAGTTTTTTTTTTATAAGACGTGAGTGTATGCGACGCGGATGATATCGCGTCGAATGTATTAAAAATTAATATAATAAGTAAAGGGCAGTTCAAGTATTATGTAAGCACTATAGGGGGGAGAGGGGGTCTTTGATTTTCTTATTTGGTGATTACATCAACAGTAATTTTATATTTTCTTTTTCACACATATACCCCTTGAAAACGAAATGCATTTTCGAGGATTCCTACAAAAAATTAATACATTTATATTATATTGATTTTGAAAGATTTGCTGACTTGAGATAAATTGCAGTAAATCTGCTTACGTAATATTCGAACGGTCCCTAATAGCTATACCTGCATACACGCTATGCATTTAACAAAATTTATAAAATATGCGCCTATAAAATATTAAAACTTTGTGTTATAATATATTTCTGACACATATTTTAAATAAGAACTATACAGTCAAATCTGTTATAACGACATCGAAGGGACTACTCATATTTGGTCGTAAAAACTGATAGTCGTAACAGCCGATGACGTTATTAAGTACCTAATAATAATAATAATTTTACACGCCGGGATTTTGGTCAATATAACCGGTATTTTGTTCTAAACGATGTCGTCGTAAACGGTTTTGTCGGATTTAAAAAAAGTTGGTAGTTGGATTGTGTCTTATGATAATTATAATTTTTTTTATTAAATTTCTTTCCAGAATGCAATAAACGACCGTCCCCTTAACTTCGACGACTGCATCACGTGGGCTCGTCTACACTGGGAAGCTCAGTATTCCAACCAAATCAAACAGCTCCTCTACAACTTTCCTCCAGACCAGGTCACCACCAGTGGAGCCCCATTCTGGTCCGGCCCCAAGAGATGTCCGTCTCCCCTGGCCTTCGACCCCAATGACAACCTCCACTTGGACTACGTAATCGCCGCTGCTAACTTGAGAGCCCAAGTTTATGGATTGCCTCCTTGTGTAGACAGAGAGCATATTGCGAAGGTGGCTAATAGCATACAGGTAACGCTATTTCATCCATCAGTCCATGAAATGTGAGACGCATTGAAGCGATTTAGATTTTAAAACAATTTATAATTTCCAGGTACCAGATTTTAAACCGCGCTCGGGCATCAAGATCGCAGTCACCGACGCTCAGCTGCAGCAGAACAACGACGAGATGGACCAAGACCGAGTGAAGAACATCGTGGCGGATCTCCCCCCTCCCTCGAAACTCGGCAACCTCAAGATAACTCCCCTGGACTTCGAAAAAGATGACGACTCCAACTTCCACATGGACTTCATCGTGGCCGCGTCGAACCTTCGAGCTGCCAACTACAGCATACCGCCGGCCGACCGACATCGCTCCAAGCTGATCGCCGGAAAGATCATCCCGGCCATCGCCACCACCACCTCGGTGGTCGCCGGCCTCGTCTGCCTCGAACTGTACAAGTTGGCCCAAGGGTTCGACTCGCTCGACGTCTTCAAGAACGGATTCGTCAATCTCGCGCTGCCCTTCTTCGGATTCTCGGAACCCATCTCGGCCCCGACCAACAAATATTACGAGAAGGAGTGGACCCTCTGGGACCGCTTCGAAATCAAGGGCGAAGTGACGCTGCAAGAGTTCATCGACTACTTCAAGAACACGCACAAGCTGGAGATCACGATGCTGTCGCAAGGAGTGTGCATGCTGTACTCCTTCTTCATGCCGAAGGCCAAGCGCCAGGAGAGGCTGAACCTTCCCATGTCGGAGGTCGTGACGAAGGTCTCTAAGAAGAAGCTGGAGCCCCACGTGAAGGCCCTAGTGTTCGAACTGTGTTGTAACGACGAGCAGGGCGAGGACATCGAAGTGCCCTACGTGAAGTACACTCTGCCCTAATGCAGCTGCAGACACGTTTCGTCGCATTTACGAATTTTTCACATAAAGAGGGTATTTTTAAAGGCAGTTAGTAAATAGGTATTACGAGTGCCTCAGTGTTTGTACAGACGTCGATAAATTTCAGTGCTTCTCACGCTTCCGTTTATATTTATAGCGATTTATTTGCTCACACTTTGAGTGCTATTTCATTTATTTTTTGGAATATTATGTGAGATCAAATGGGTCTGTATATGAAGAAATTAAAAATAAAATTTGAGCTACAGTTTGTTTTATTTGCATCAGTCCTTAGCCCGTATTACGTATTATATACATTTAGTTCACTCATCAGCATTAGTTAAGTAAGATTGTTTACTCGACTTGACTTGATAGTAATTTAGGTAACAAGTGTTATCATAAATATCTCTCACATAGTGATCATTAGACATGAAAAATTTTCGTTTCTCTTAGCATAAAATCAATACGGCTATTATAAATGAGCTAAACGGCATGAACAAGTTGTTGTTTTCTACATTAGTTTCTAAATAGAACAATTTGGTTTCAGAAAAAAAAAATCCCTAGTCAAACAAATTACTGAATGCTTAAATGATAAAATGCTTATAGGTTGCATCTTTCTAGATATGACAAAGGCTTTTGACTTTGTTTGTCATGAAAGACTTAAAAAAATTAGAATGCTACGGAATAAGAGGTAATACTTATAACTGGGTTAAAAGTTACCTTGAAAATAGAATGCAATATGTGGAAATAACAAAGATTTGTAAACTAGAACAAAAAACCTATAGATCCAATTTTAAGAAAAATGAGTATGGAACAACTCAAGGCAGTATTTTGGCTCTACTACTTTTTCTAACATACATAAATGACCTCCCAGATGCTAAACACCAGAACTGTATACTATTTGCAGATGACACTACACTTATAATAAAAAGTTAAAACGAACAAGGTTTAAAAAACAACTTAAAATTTTAAACGAAGAAGTAGATATGGGGAGAAATTGGCTGTGCCAAAAATCAATCTGGAACTGTTTAGGAAAAACATCTTTTGTATGGCAATTAAGGTTTACAATAAATTACCAAAAGATTTTCCGACTAGTCTTTAAAAAGCGACTTGGTGTATTACTTTTGAAAAAAATGTACTATTCAATAAATGATTATTTGCGTGAGACATTGTAGTTGATATAAGTTTAATAAAGTATGATTAGTCCATTGAAAAGTTACATTTGGGGTTGCGTTTTTTAGAGGACGCAATTTTATTTATGGAACATGTAGGGGGGGTCAATACAAGCTTAACTCCAAGTTTGTGGGGTTGGCGTACTTATTGGTATTCCTAGTAGGCCTATTCCACAGACAACTTGCTGATATGGTAATCTTAGACATAATTATATTATCAATCAGTTATTAGAATGGTAGCTAGCTATCACTTTTTTATTTATAACTTTTTGGATTTATGATAAAAAGTTACATATACATAATTGTAGGCACAGCGATTTGCTACAAAATGTATATTTACAAGTTTTATATACGATGGATAGTTTAGGAGATATAGCCAAAAACGTGGTTTTTGGACCCCTTTTTCCAAGATGGCGGCCGGGGGACAAGCACGCCAACCCCACAAACTTGAGGTTAAGCTTGTATTGACCCCCCCTACAGGTCCCATAAATAAAATTGCGTCCTCTAACAAATGTTCAGTTTGGCCCTCAAATTGTAACATTTCAATGGACTAGATATGTACGATACAAAAATAATATAAGAATTGACTTTGACTAATAATGTAAAATTCCTTAAGACAAATTTGGGCGCCATTGTGTGTGGCAGAATATGCGAACTTACGATTGTACCTTACACATTTTTGTACCATATTCTTGCAATAAATAAATTATTATTATTATAAAGTCCATAAGGCAGTCATACTTATTCGTGTTAATAGAGTAGCTCACCGAGTGTATTTCCTGATCCTTTTCTTCGTGATTTACTAGGCATTTCGTCCCACTGAGATACCTTTAGGTATTCAGAAAGAGCGCACTTCTCCCTTAAAGGCCAGCAACGCATCCACTAACAAAAAGGGTGTACAGGGGCTACGGTGATCGTCTTTTATAGCCGCCTTGGATCGCCCCAATGCCAATGGGACGTATGTATGCCTGAATAGGTCATATACATTGACTGGTGTGGAAGGCACTTTATAATTTAACCGGAAATCGTTTCATAGAGGTTTATGTAACAGTAACCAACTTTATTAACAAATAATAATAAATGGTTGTATGTTCTGTCCTTACCACTCTTATTACCTCTTAAAAAACATTAATTAATATGACCAACATAGAAAGGAAAACAATACTTATAATTTTCATATATTTATTGTAAAATGGGTTACATGAAAAATATAGTGCCCTTTTCGAAAATTTAGCATTTGTGCCAAAACTTTTAAAACATTTTTGAAATTTGACTAGTTACATGCGCTTATAAAACTATTGTTAAGACCTACATACAGCATTAAACGGTCACGCGAAATATGGACAGTTAACTTTATTCGAGAATGTTAGATTTGTACTTTAAATTTGTTTTGTCTGTTTACCTAGAGCCAGAATTTTTGACAAGTTTTGCGTCGATACAAGTAAGTCCAAATTTCGAGCGACTAAATAAATAACTACAAAGCTACATTTGCAAATTATACCTAATCGCAATTAAAGCAAATAAGCTCACGAGAGCGCCGTCACAACCCAATATAGGCACGCTAAAGAAGTCATTTATGTGATTCCTACAGAGCCACGAGCTAAAGTCTGCATTTTCAATGCCACTTGCTTTGGAATACGGTCTTCAAGAGTACCGTCGCGTCCGCACACTGTTTAACGAGTAAAATCGGCAGAAAAGTGTGGACCCTCACTATCGTGTTAAATACGAAATAGGCTTCTACGGGGTGTTTATCCACACTTGTCTTATAAAAGTATAAAAATCAGAACTTTAGTGATTGTACTTTTTCAGTTTTACATTGTACTTTATGACTATGAACAATACAGTAGCAATTCCTTTGGAAAAAAATCGAGTTCACCTTTTACGTTGTACGAAAATAAGACATAATTTATTTAGGTCATATGATTCTTAAACTATAATTATATAAGGAAGTACTGTTGATGGAATTGAATTAGTTTAGTTCTCGCGATACTTAGTTATTTTAAATACAATCATACACAATGTGAAATAATAAACATGATTATTACAAAATATGATTCGTAATAATAATTTAGGTTGGCTCACAATTTGAAGTTTATTTCTGACGTTTGAGTTACCTAGTACGTAAGACAAAGCGGGTACTTAATAATTTCTTTGCCAAATACATTTTGAACTTATTCATATTAAAAGATGGCAAACACAAAACGTATTGTCTCAATCATGTGTAAACATTTACAAATTGAATTTAAATAATTAAGAATATACAAGTGTAGCTTTAAATGTAAAAGAACGCACGGAAATTAATAACCATGTTTTAATCCGGCAAAATTTATTTATGCTAAATAGAGTTATTCAATATTCTAGCTTATGATCTTAGTGTTGTATCTGTAGACAATTGTTTTACAGCAAACGTGACCTGTCAGTATATGTAGGTGTCATTACTCTACAATTAAATATTTGTGATAGAGGGTCACACTTGCTGCGAAATAATTCTTGGGTTTGTCTGTTGTGTTTGGCATATATACTAAGCACTAAATACTAATAAAGGTACTTTCAAGTTGATTATATTATAATCTGTGAATGTAATTAAGACGTTTACATCATTATCTTTTTCCGGCGCATTAGAATATATTAGCGATTACTTTAGGGGTAATCACGCAGCCAACATCGCGTGATAAAGGCGGGCATACAATGTCAGCGCCATGGCCGACGTCGCGGGCTCGGCATATAGTGGCGTACGCTGCTCTTGTCGCCGCTAAAAGTCTCTGTAAATTCATTTATTTAAACAATAATCCTACAATTCGGTAATTAATCTAAAGGCTGAGTGTATCGGGCAGGCATATCGCTTATAAGTGATCTTTTTGAAGCAACCAGTAATAAAAGAAAGCTAAAACTAATATAGAGAACTTTAAACCGTATATGTACTAATCTTAATCATAAAACATTACATATATAAATCTATATAACGTGCACTATAAAAATCACAGGGTTAGGATCGAAGGAGTTAGACAAAAGTTTCGATAAGTTGATAGAGGGAGCTAGTCGATTGGAATTATGAAGCGTATTTCTAAAATACTTTTCCAAAAAATCAGAATATGAAAGGGAATTTGCAGAATATATCTATTCTAGGAAAGTAATTCGTAGCTCCAAAAACATCATAGAGAAACGGTCTTAGACCTAAAAATCGATGCTATGTGTAAGACTAAAGGCTGATCGACTGCTATGAGAAATAAATAATGAATGCATTATTTTGGATAAATTTTATGATTCCTTAGAGATATTTTGCATATCTAAATCTAAAAAAGCTAAACCAACAAAAACCGCCGAAAGTCTTGATGGAAAGCTAAATAAAAAAATAGCACAACCATATTTTCTTATGAGCTAACATAGAATAAAAAAACAACAAACAGCAGAAAATAACATAATCGTAAATGAAGAAATAATAGAAGAACATCACCAAAGAACTACGATATAGCAAAAGACAACGGCGTGCACAAAGAACTTTAACTTATTTACCATAATTGGATTGAGTCATAAGCGACGCGTTCGTCGATCGCTTGCTGCGCGCGGGAAACGCACCGCAGTGACTTTGTGACATAAGATCCCTGTATGTATTAACTTATTTATTGTCAATTGTCATTCTATGTAATTCTTAGTAATTTTGTCAGGTGCGCTGTAATTTTTTTGGTATATCTCATTAATGGAACATGCGCAAATTTTTACCCACCACGCAATCGGCCAAGTTACGTGCCAAAACTAATAAACTCCAACGCATAGATATAGCATTAATTAGTTAGCAGCTGTGTGTATCATAGACAAACAGACTGCTCTAGACTAGCTACATAGTCCATATATGACAGATGAAGGCTACCACTATCCATAATAAATAATAATATTATAATTTAAATCCTTATTCGTAACATTGTATTTAAATTTATGAAAAGTAAGAGTATTTTTATATATTTATGGCTGCATTAAAACTAAGTAACCTGTTTGTGTATTAACGATTAAAGATTTGATTGAGCAATCGTATAAACATATTTTGCTGTAATGTATTTGTTACTTGTTTGGCAATCCCAGACTCGTTTTCAGATCCCTAAATCAATAAAATTGGCTCATGCTTACGTAGGTCGATGTTGCCTTATAGGTGGGCGGTTGGCTAGTGAGCGTCTTCGGCCGCGATCTGCATTAATCATGGCGCAGCGCTCAGCAGCAGTGCTCGTAATAAATGTATCGTGGAGAGAGTAGCACGCTGCTGTTATCTGAAATGTTACATTTTGTTTCTAATTATAAAATTAAAACAACAATAGATGTGGTTTCCGCTGCAATTTTTATAATAAGCAATTGTAAAGTTGTAGATATTTAAAGTTTGCGAAGATCATTCTAAGATACTAATTATGTTTTCAGTAAAAACAAAACATTATTTTATTTACTTAGTATTGAAGTATAATGAGCTCAACCGAATACTGACTATTCTAAATTTTATGTACTTAATTCTATCTCGTCTAAGATGGGAAACTAATATCAAATTGAAAAGACAAAAACACTAAAATTGTTGAAATTTTTAAGAATTGAGAATATTTTACAATATTTTTAGGTAAATAATACAAATCTAGTGTGACTACAACACTATATGAATCTTGGCTACAGATTGCATTAGTTTCTTAATAGATAAGTAGGTAGGATGAGCTTTCTGTACCGACCGAGGACATGCCGGTGGTCTCACGATGTTTTCCTTCACCGAAAGAAGTGTTAATTCGATACATTTCTTTGTATTGATGCACAGCCATTATTCGAACACACGACCTCAAGGTTGAGCGTCGCACGCTTAAGCCACTAGGCCGACACTGCTCATATGATATTACAAGTAGCCCTTGTAAAGCATTTAGGCAAATTAAGCTTAAAACGTGTATATAGAGTTACCTGCTGAATCAAGCGCCTATGTAAATCAACATCAGCCCCTCTGATACCCTCGCGATCCTGATGCAACTGCAGCGCGCATAACAACGCGTCTTTGATAGTCTGAACGGTGCCCTGCACGCGTTCCGTGCGCATCAGTCTGCGCACGAGGAAACCTTTGGCATATGCCACGATCTTTGTTGCTGCTGCGCGCTGATCACAAATTGGTCGAAAATTATTTGGGAGCGTGATTATCGGAATAAAGATCGAAAAGGAGGCCGGGAACGAGAGGAGAAGGATAGAAGATGATACAAATAGGGTAGAGAAGGAAGTGTTCAAAAGTAATAATGGCAGCAACGGTAGCGAAATATTACAAACGTGATGTATCTTTGAAACAGAGAGAGATATTTAAAATTGTTAAGAAGGTTGATTTTTCATATCATTACGCTGTAACTTGAGTATTTAAAAATGTAATGTACAATGCAGCTAATATTTAAATATTTAAAAATTATTACATGCTCTATGTCTAGCTGTAGCTATAAAATTATCTAACAAATGATTACGATCCACCATATTGAAGATTATTGATAAGGTATTACCTCTTGTGGGGTCGTCTGCCGGCAAACACTTGGCGCTCTTCTAGAACACATACTTTTAATGGAATTATGTATAGTTTCCTCCATGCTCTTAATAGCTCTGTCGGTGGACTTGCAAGGTTCCGCAAGAGGCATCGCTGTAGGGCTAACGTTCTTGCGGTTAGTTTTAGTATTTTTCGGTGGAGTGTAAGGGCATTCGTCACTATTGTCAGACGGAAAAGTCACATTTAAATCTGCCATCGTATCGTTCGTACGGTCGGTTAAAATTAGTTCATATTCACGATCAGAAGACGTGTCGTACGTTAGCTTTCTCGAAGTTCCATTTCTACGTACAGGGGACTGGCTTCTTTTTACGCTCTGTGTCGGTTTCGGTGGGCTTTTTTCATTGACCTGACTGACCTTTCCTTTATTTATACTTGATGTTATATCTCTTGACTTTTTAAGAACATTATCACAACGATTTAAATAGGTATTAGTATCTGTAATAGTGGATTGGACGGGACTTTCACAAGAGTCTGATCTTTTATGATTGATTAATTGGTTCAAACTAACAGGGCCCCTGTCTGATTTCTCAACCCATGCTTCCTTAACATTGTTTGGGGGTTTTGGGCAAATAGTCTGGAGTTGATTATATAACATGTTGTTCTGCTCTTCAAAAACTTGTTGCAGAAGCATTTGCTCTTTTTTTTGTTTTTCCACTAAAGTAGCCATTTGGGCAAGCTGCTGCTTTTGTATTTTTTCATAAAGTTCTCTGACCCTAGTTGCGGGGTCTTCCGACTCCGATACAGGTGGTTTTGGTGATGTTTGTTTCTTTTCTATTTCTTTAGGATTCACATTCATAACTGGAGTCTTACTAATCTTACCAATCATTGTGGTGTTTCGTACTGGACTTTGACTTTTCTTTGGTTTTGTTATGGGTTCCGATTTGTTTGGAGTATTATAGGTATTAGTAATTCGTTTTGTACTTTCCCGGGCAAGAGACCGTGCTCTTAAGTGTGTTGATGCAGAGGGTGGTGTCTTTTTAGCTGGTTTTGTAATAGCTTTCTGGTTTTTACTAGCTATGTCTATATTCTTTTGCTTTAATTCAAGTGCCATAGATGACCACTTTACTTTTGCAGATTCCAAGTCCCAACTTCTTCGCTTTTTATTAGGAGAATATAGGTTAGATGTGGACTCACTCATAGATATAGAATTTATTTCAACTCCAGTGTTCAAAGACTGGACTTCTAAATGTGCAAGCAGCATAGGACTGGGTGTTAAAATTGTGTAAGATCTTTGGCGAGATAGCGGAATGCTTTCATAACCTTTACTATCTGTATGAATATTGTTCAAAGAGCCTGTAAAACTTTTTGCAGTAAGAGATGGAGGATCATCTTCATAAAGATGATTGGAAAGGGGTTCAGTTAATTCTTCTTTCTTTACACTGACACTAAAGACAATTTTATCCTCAACTTCTTTAGAAGAATCAATCTTAGATTCATTATTTGCCATTTCGTTAGAACATTCACAGTCTCTGACTGGAACTTCAATAGAATTTGTGTCTTGGAAACCATATTTTTCATTAATGCTTAAACTTAGGTCTATTGTAAACTTTGAGGGGGTCTTAGATAAACTCTCTAATTCTGTGACTGGAGTTTCTACCTGTAGGGTACTTCTTTCCAGATCTTTTGTGATAATTGAATTAGAATTGAAATCTTTTTTATCATTGGGTGAATTATCATTTTGTTCCGACTCAGGACGTTCAGGCGCATCTGTCTTGTCTTCAGCAGACTCTGTGTCATCACTTTCAAGTAAAAATTTTTTTAGTGCTTGAATTCTTTTCTCAACTTCTATTGCCAATAGTTTATAATACTGCATTTCTTTGCGACATTCCTTGGAGAGCTGTAATGTAAATTAAACATATTTACATATGATTTTGAGTGATTTCACAATCAAGAAATAGTAAGACATACATATTATGTGCCTTACTAACAAAACCTTCAATACCTAATTCCAATTAAGCACTGGGATAAGCAAAAATGACAAAGGTTGTTCAAAATTATCTTGAATTTAAACATATAAAGCTCAAACCATTAAGTCTTCAGATTTATAGATAAATTTGAATACTTATGATGATCTTATACAGCTTAAACTTCTATTCAACTACCAATATTACATGTAGTACACGAATATCGACTTTTACATGTAGTTTTTAATATAAAAAAAGATTACTTACAACCGGTGGTAGAAGGGGTACACCATTTAATTTAATACACGACACATATTGGCCAGATTGTCGGACACATTTGACATCCCACGGATCGTTCATTGTGGAGATTACATCAGCGCATCCTTTAACAAACACTTAAGCATCCCAGATAAGTGGACGAAGCTTGAATACGTATTATGACCAATTTTTGTGTCGATTCGTATGGTACGTTATTTCGATGAGGTAGTCATAGATGATTACGTCAGTTAATTAAACTTAACAGCACTAACTTGACCCATTACAAACTATTGAATATCTTTTACATTTTAATGCGAGTTTAGTGGTGAATTGGTTGTACTAAGTTTTTTTAATCAGTCCTTTGAAAAAACTAAAAATGGATTTTTTTTTTCAGTAAAGAGATAAATCTGTTTTGAAACACATTATTTATACATTTTAAAATATTTAATGTGAAAAACAAATAATTTTTAAATTAATTACACGAAAATTCAAATTTTCACTTTTAGTTTTTCGTTAACAAAAAGTACTAAAATCAAAACATTGGGGTTGCCATGGTCACATCACGTACTTTGTGTGCATCTCTGTAAAATCTACTATAATATATATCAGCTATGGTGAACAGTTTCTGCGATCTTCATTTAAAAAAATAGTAGAGCTTGTGTGCGTTTTCCCACTACCAAACCCTTTTCCCCCCCCCCCCCCCCCCCCCCCCCCCACACCCCAACCTAATTTTGCGGGGGATTTTTTTCCCCACCCCCCCCCCGGGGCGCCCCCGCCCGGGGGGCCAAAAAAAGGTCTGGAGGGGGTCCCCCCCCCCCCCCCCCTTAAAAAATTGGGCAAAACCAAAACTTTGGGGGGACCCCCCCCCCCCCCCCCCCCCCCCCCCCTCTTTTTTTTTTTTTTTCCCTCCTCCCACACACCCCCCCCCCCAAAACATTTTTTTCCCCCCCCCCCCCCCCCCCCCACACTCCCCCCCCTTCCTTTTCCCCCCCCTCCCCCCCCCCTGGGGTGCTTTTTTTTCCCTCCCCCCCCCCCCCCCCCCCCCCCCCCCCCCCCCCCCCCCCCCCCCCCCCCCCCCCCCCCCCCCCCCCTTTCCCCCCCCCCCCCCCCCCCCCCCCTTCCCCCCCCCCCCCCCCCCCCTTTTTCCCCCAAAAACCCCCCCCCCCCCCCCCCCCCCCCCCCCCCCCCCCCCCCCCCCCCCCCCCCCCCCCCCCCCCCCCCCCCCCCCCCCCCCCCCCCCCCCCCCCCCCCCCCCCCCCCCCCCCCCCCCCCCCCCCCCCCCCCCCCCCCCCCCCCCCCCCCCCCCCCCCCCCCCCCCCCCCCCCCCCCCCCCCCCCTTTTGTTTGTGTGGTTGTGTTTGTTGTGTGTGTGTGTGGGGCGGGGTGTGGGGGGGGGTGTGTTGTGGTGGTTTGCCCCCCCCCCCCCCCCCCCCCCCCCCCCCCCCCTTTTTGTTTTGGTGGGGCGAACAACCTCAAAGTCTTGGCAACAGATTTCTGAATCTGTTTCGTGTTTAGTCACTTACTTTTCTTAAGGTATTTTCGTAAGGTATGGCAACAAACCTACACTATTGCACAGCCGTGATTCGCTTCTCAGAGTTGGCGCCCACTAAAGCCATTATTTTTTTCAGGGGAAATGCATTACCCCTGCTCTCCCGCGGTGCGACTGCTTTGAGGTAGAGGCTTATATAGGACTCGCTACTTTGCATACTCACTAAACCATACGCTACCACAACCAATTCGAACCGCCGCTCTTAATTGAATAGGGCTTGGTACTGGACTACTGATCTCACCTCAGATCAGTGGTCCATGTGGGGCTTACGCTATATACAGTTGGAAGCTAGCCCAGAGTGAAGTATGGTTTCGCACGTATTGTGTGCTCAAGGTTTTTGGAGGCTAATTTAGCCTTTCCTTTCAAATTACCGCGAAACTTAACGTCGTTGGATATGTCAACTCCCAGTACCACTATGCTCGCTATGACTAAGGAGAGGAGGAGTTACTTATGATTTAGCGGAAAACGCGCAAACTTGGGCTTGTGGACCAGATTTGGTCGACCCCAGTCCACTCCATGTCGCAAAGTTTCGACTTCAGACACGAGTACATTCCGGTACTTATCAACACCCCCCAAAAAAACCCCTTCCCCGGCGGGGGGAAGGACATTCCGCCGCCCGGCCGGCCCCAAAAAATTTTTTTTTTTTGGTGGGGTTTTCCCCGCGGCCCCCGGGGCGGGGGAGGGGGAAAAATTTTTTTTTTTTTTTTCCCCTAAAAAAATATTTTTTTTCCCCCCCCCCCCCCGGGGCCCCCCCCCCCAAAAAAAAAAAAAACCCCCCGTTTTTCCCCCGGGGGCCCCCCCCACAAAGGAATGTTTCAAGTTGTACCACGGGTAGGAGAGGTAGGAAGTATCAGCCGGAGTGGATATCTGAGTCTCGGTGAGGAAGAATAACGGCTTCGCAGTTTCTAGGTGGTAATGAACATCGTTAATGTCAGAATTGAGGCCCCCGTAACAAACTGAACCTTCATACTTTAACCGGTTTACTCACTTACCGCACGAAACCCGAGTACAATAAGATGAACCTATTGACTCACTTCACGCCGATCTTCTATGATACAGTGGTACTTGTACTTGCCTGCCCATTTCGCTGAAGCGGTGAAGCCTGAAAGCAACAGCATATGGGAATGGATCGTCACGTCCCGACGCCGGAAAGAGTTTCAGACTAAGGGCTAAAGAATTTAAGATACGCATATTAGAAATCTGTGTATCAACTTTATCAAAGAATAATAGTTGTGAAGACAACTGTTGACTGTTGACACTTCACAATAATTATTATTCTTTGGCTCGATGTAGATATAACTTGCAGTAAAATGTAAATAGCCTGTGGTAAATGATTAAGGGATGTAAGATGTTATGATTAGAGTAATATAAATACCGCTTTAATTTAACCCTTTTTAATGTTTTATATTGACTATAAATAATTTATCTGAGATGACCTTTTCTACTATACAGTAGTGCTATTCCAAATATTTAGGATCCGGCATCACTATGAGTGGTTTGATAAATCGACAGAAGTACTCCGCAGCTTTTGTGGCGTCTAGTTATTTTTGCATTTCTGCTAGTATATTGACGGTGACTCTATTTTCTGGAAACATATTGGGTCACACATCGGAATTGTGGGCGTTGAAGTACTGGGGACCAGCATTGTATTTATGCCTACTTAATTTTACCCTTCGGTATTCATTAAAGGGCTTCCCATATGAAGTAAGTGGATTTTATTATATTAATCTTTGATAGGATAAAGCTTTTCAAAGTAATGTATGTCTAGAAAATTATACTAATTATTGTTTCTTTATGTTTTTCAGGTTGCCTTAAGATCAGCATTTCTAGGATCAGTGTTCGCATTAGGATTATATTTGACTTCGTTAACTGCAGCATGGAGGGCATTTGGCCTGTATATAATAGCACTTTCAATATTTCATTTCTCTGAATTCTTTGCTGTTGCACTTACAAATCCAAGAACATTGACTATTGATTCATTTATTTTAAATCATAGTTATCAGTATTGGCTTGCTGCAATCGCTAGTTGGATTGAGATGTCAGTTGAGTGTTATTTCTTTCCTGGTAAGCTTTATATAATTATGTTGAATTTCTGTTGTTTGTATAAAATTTTCTATTTATAAATTTTGTTTGTAGGCCTCAAATCAGCACAATGGTTGACAATGTTAGGTGTTGCTATGTGTATTAGTGGAGAAGTGTGGAGGAAAATGGCTATGTTTACAGCTAAAACTAACTTTAATCATCATGTAAGTTGAGTAACTTTTATACTAGTGTAAATGATAAAAAAAATATTCAAAAGGATGTAATTAATGTCATTAATATTATTTTTCCTTTTACTATTCATACTATTATTCATAGGCTAAACTATTTTTTTGGAATTCACAAAAGATAACAAGAATTCACTAAATATTTAAAATGTGTGCAATGCTTTTGCTTTGAATTGAAGACGTGAGTGGATGAAGGTGATAAGTGCAATTTTTTAGATTTTGAGAAAATTGAAGTTAAAGTTTTGCTACAATTTTCTTTTGTAAGTCGCTTAAATGATTAGTTATGCCGTGAATTTGAATGCAAAGTAGTGTGAATGATCCTAAATATTGAGGGCACGTTGATAATAAAACTCTTGCGATATTATTCGATATTATATTTAAAAAAAACTTAACATAACTCCTTCTTCCATGAACTAACTTAAACTATTTGTCCTTACGGCTATATAAAATTAGGTGCTAAGTACGAATATAAATAAACATGTTAAATTTTTTTAATACACAGAACCAGCCTCTGCAAAAACTTAAGCTATTATATTACTATATCACACTTGTGATCATGCTATATATAAAAAGATATTATCCTTGGCTTAAAATTGACTCAAAAAAATAGCGATATTCTGGCTTCACGTACTTTAGTTGGTCTCGGAGATTCTGTTTTTTTTCTACTGAAACAGTACCATACTTACCAGTCACACGTGGAATTTCTAAATTCGCGGACACCTTCGATTTCTTTTTTAATATGTCCACCTTTTTAAACGGTGTCATTTCATCGTACGATTCTTTGTATAGATAAGATCCATACTCCTCAACTCGAATCCATTTGATACCATCCCTAAAACTGATTTTTCTATTGCTTACATCTTTTTTCCTATTTATTAAATTGAGATTATCTTGTAGCTCACCAATTTTTCTGAAATGTTCTGTCATATTAATCACTGTATTATTACGAGAAGCTTTGCAAATGATATCACGGTACTGGTCAGGAACGAAAACTGTGTCATGCTTTCTGAGGACTTTTTCTATTCTACCAAAATCACGATCCGAATCTAAATAAGAATGGCCAACTTCAGGAAACTTGTGATCGATTACTTTGAAATATCCTTTAAGGATAAGATATTGATAAAGTGAAATCATGGTGAAATTTTTGTTTTGGCCGGCACATGAATCTGACCAAATTAATAGGTGATCTTTGTTTTGGCAACTTGGATCTATTTCCACAAATCTTAGAAGTGCGCTCGCAACTTCGGCACTTCCGCGGTCCGCAACATCTTCAGTCCATGTACAACATACGGCTTTTTCTTTGCTTCCATCACAAACATGAATACCCAGGTTGTAAAACCACAGTTGACGCAAGTAGAATGCTTTTGATGTTGTTAGCTTTGGTAATGGCATGGTTTGTTGTAAATCCATTGTAACGTACACAATATCGCCATCTCGAGTTGGTTTTCTACGGTCAACTTGCATAGCTTCAACAGCAGCATAATAATTTGACTTATGTTCGTCATTTAAGTCTCCAGCATCGCACGTAGCGCACGTATCACTCTTTGGGTATCCAAACGACAGGTTGAATTGTGTGACAAAAATTTGGTTATATGAAGTTTTCTTGATACGGTATTTGTCTGGTAGGTCCTCATTATGACATATTCCTAAGTATAGACTGTGCATCTTGGTCACATTCAGTAGCGGTGATAAATAGAGCTTGTTCATATTTTTTTTTCGTGAGTAATGCGATTGTTCAGCAGGAAAACTAGAAATATGTTCTTTTATACGGTTAACAACGTCATCGTCCATTTTGTGAGGACGATTCTGATGTCTACCTCTCTGATCTGGTTTTGGAGCTGCAAGTCCTTCCTTGATTCCTTTTATAATGAGATCAATTTTTTTGCGACCTATCTGATAAATTCCGCAAAAACCTAACTTGCATATTTTTGTCGTAATTCCATTCTTTTTACGTAGTACTTGAAGGACGCAGATTTATGATTTCTAGCATTACAGCGTTTATTCGCTACAGGCATACTCTCAATGCTGCTGAATAATAGGGCATTCTTACTATTGGTGTCCAGGGAATAATAGCTGTTTAAAATAGACTGCCGATCATCAATGGAAAAATTATCTGAGCATTTAAGCCTGCACTTCTCGTGACACAAAATCCCTACCTTAATCTTTTTTTTCGGAATTATCTCTCCTTTGTAAGATACATATTCCTCTCCTTTTGCTCTAGCTATTGCTGCATAATTTTTCTTCCAAGATTGTTCATTCCTCGGCCGTTTTTTTGATTTATTTTCTTTTGGTGGAAATACTTTGCGCTTTTTTGGCATAATATTTTCTTCCAAATCCTTATTTGCATGCTGTTCACTAGTGGAGAAAATAATGGGGTTTTCCTGCCGATCAGCATATTCATTGTCAGATTCATGCTCATCAACGCCACAAGAGCTAGTGCTATCGGGGCTTTCAGGAATGTAAATGTTATCACTACCGGAAGAAAAATCTTCATTTCTATTCTGCAATGGAGATACATCCTCCAAGACTGTGTATGACTTTTTGTTTCGAAAAGAAAGTCCAAAATAATCTATATCTTCCTCTAGGGAATTCTCTATTACATCTGAAATTTCATCATCTACAGAGACAGGAACTTTCGCAAGGCTGCCAATATAATTTGTGCCTTGACCGCTAGTGTTCATCTCAACCGTTCACTCATTCATGACATACGACTCACCGCCTCAATCACATTCAGCGCCTAGCCCGCGTTTGAAATACCTCAACGAGTTTGAAGCGGTACAAAATGTGTGTTTGAGGTGATGCGACATTTGACAACTTTGAGTGTGACATTTGACTATTGACTCATGTATTGTTCCAACACTACCATAGTTATCTGTGATTGAAGCATTGCAAGCAAATCAAAAATTAGCTAAAGACTAACCTGAATATTTGAGGTAATGTCATGTATACATCGTTGTGTGGAGCTATTTCGTTTCATGGCCACTTAAAGCAGCTTTACAAACATTATGTTGAATTTCTGCCATATTAATTTTGTATAAATGTCAATTTTGTATTTATAAATTTTGTATAGCAGGCACAAATCAACAATCAGAAAGCGCGCGACTACAACGAACGAACGTAATCGACACATGTTGAACCCTGAGTGATGATGCTATGTTAGCGGACTCTAACACCTTAGTACGGAGAAAGTGTGGCTTTTTATTGGGAAAATAGTAAGCGCAGTGTTATGTTGTACAGCTAACGAACAAAATGTAATTTTCAGTTGATGTGAAGTTGAGTACAACTTTTATACTAGTGTAAAATGATAAAAAAATATTCAAAAGGATGTAATTCCAATGTCATTAATATCTATTTTTAGGTTTACTATTCATTCAATTATTCATAGGCTAACCTTATTTTTGAATTCACAAAAGATAACAAGAATTCACTAAATATTTAAAATGTGTGCAATGCTTTTGCTTTGAATTGTATATGTATTATGGGTTTCAGGTACAAACAGTAAAGAAAGCAGATCATCAACTTGTTACAGGTGGAGTGTATGCATTTTGCCGTCATCCTAGCTACATGGGTTGGTTTTATTGGTCAATAGGTACACAGGTCAGTGTCAATGCTATATCATTATTTCCACTGCTGAAGGCTTGATTTTTCTTTCTTTTTGTTTTGATTAATCTAGGATTAGGGATAAACAATTTCTGTGTCAAAGTTAAGCAACTCCCATTAGATAAATTTAATTTTTTTTGCATTACTTTCTGTTTAACTTTATTAGGTCTTTTAAAAATATTAGTTGTAAAATTATAATGATCACAGCACTAAGGGCTTAAGATAACAATCCTGCAGATCATTTAGCACATTATCTGTGACCATATTTTATTACTACAGCTGACAAATCAAATTGTTTTCAGATGATTCTTATAAACCCAATATGCTTGGTGATCTATGCCATAGTGTCATGGTCTTTCTTTCAAGAGCGTATTTATGCAGAGGAAATGTTCCTTGTGTCTTTCTTTGGAAACCAATACCTTGAATATCAGAAGCAGGTTGGCACTGGGATCCCATTTGTCAGAGGATATGTTCCTGATGACAGCTGGTGATGGTTGAACTCTAGTCACAAAATGACCAGGAGATACTCATGGTGATAAACTGAGAAAAATAACAAAAGAGGAGTAGAAATGTAAATACATTATTACAACATAAATTGGTTTTTATGTGTAATGTGATAGTTAATAATTGTAATAAATATAAACAATTGATTATTAGTTGTAAAGTATAAGCAGTCATAACTCAATCACATTTAAATGTCGAGCACAATTCATTGTGTTCCTATTTAGTAACTCACTGTAAATATGTACTTACATATATTACACACATTATTTGCATTTTTTTAATATTTAAAAAAAAAACATTATTGTTTAATTTTATGCCATTGATATTTAAATTCTAGTGAATATTTTCTGTTGTAGTATTGTATATTAGAAGATGTGTTGTAATATCTATTTATTGTAAAAGATTGTAACATAAAATGTATTTATTGGTTGTGAATGGTACAAGATAAATGTTTATCTGAGTGACTACTTTTAATTCACTAACAGAAGACAGTTTACCTTTAATATTATAAAATTGTATTATGTGTTGGTGGCCTTTGAGGGAGGAGTACACTCTTTTTTTAAATACTTGAAGGGAAGATCTCCACTGGGAGACAATTTCGCAGCTCGCTTTGCAATAGAAAATTCCTAGTGAAACGGACTGTGACACTTCGTAGTACACATTGCAGACAACACATAGAGACGCAGATGACCAGCCTAGCGATGTGAGCAGTATTCCATGTGATGTCGTAGTTGAGGGTTGTAGAGCTCCACATGTTTTACCTCAGTGAAATCTGCTTAATAAAACAGTAGCTTAGCTAGCGTAGTTACAAAAGTCAGTGAATCTCTGAGCCTACCTCATAAGTTTTGAAAACAAACTACAATGTTTTCAAATCAATGTTTAACTCGGTAGTTACACAGTTGAATTAGAATGGCAACCACTATTTTTATTTTCTTATTGGATTATGTACCGGGTATTGTAAATTGTTGACCATTATACAAATCTTTATAAAAACTAATAGTTATTATTATTCAGCGGTTTTTAAATAATTTATAATAACGGGTTTCAAAGCTAAAGCCACACGGCATAGTAGTAACGGTGTATGTTTGTTTTTAGGTTTTGAATCTGCTTTTAAATCGAGTCTCCAGAACTTAAATGAGAATGTTACCATCGATATTTGTGATTCACGTTTATTGAATGAAATACTTAAAATTGAAGAATTTAATAGCGTATACAGAGATTTACACCACGAAAATATATCACGAAATTACATTGACCAATTAAGTCCATATCAAGCTTTATTTGATATAAACAATTCCGCCGAAGGCTTCAATTACCCGAAGGGTATTTCGGCTTTGAATATTTTTCATAATAAAATAGCACGAGACTATTTTCCCACACAAGCGCCATTTTTGGTTGCCATATTTGAAACCCTCTCAAATATTACCGCGCAAACATGTAGTGGAGTGCTTTTAACCAAAAATTGGGTCCTTACTGCATCTACTTGTATAAATGTGCTGCCGTATCTGTATAGAAATGGGTAAGTAATAAATATTATTGGGAAGGTGAGTTGTCGTATATTTCTTACATAAAATGTTTGACATTGCTGAAGGTAAAGACCATTAGAGTAGCTAACTATGTTATAACTTATAACCGTATAACGCTTGGTGTATATATTCGCTTTGGGCGACGTAGAAAGCTAATCGCCTTTAAAAATATAAATTAAACAGATGCAAAAAAATGTGTGCAATACGGGGGATATTTACCCTCATTCCGGTAATAGGTTTTTCAACTTAAAAAATATTTAAACATTTTTTCTTTGAATGATATGCTTTCAGGTCGGTCACAGGTAGAAGTTACCATACGGTTATCGCGAATTCGACCAACCCTCTATCTGATGGTTCTGTACACAACGTGACAGACGTGGTCTTTTATCCAAAAAAGCGCGTGCCCTTAGCATTGATGAGAATTAACCCGAGCATTGAAGTTAAACCACTGCAATTGTATAACAGTAACTTTATGGATAACTTAGAAACTATGGTCTACGGATGGTCTATTTACAAGGTGCTTAAACTTTTTAATACCGAGATTACTCAGAGCGTCAAATAAGAATTAAATGTAGCCTTCTGTGTTGTCAATTGTTGAATCTTACTATGAACTAACAGTTATTTTTTTAGATATTTACTAGCTGACCCGGAAAACGTTGTTTTGCCATGTATATACTATATATTACTTCTAAGAAACATTTTTTTAGTTCAATAAAAATAACTATCTACAATAATAAAAATAGGGGTTGATCGTAGAGGGGTAAAAAATAGAGGTTGTATGTATTTTTGTATGCTGTATCATAAAAAAATTGAACAAAAAATTTTTGTCTAAAAAATTAATTTTGGGCTGGACACCCCTTATTACTTAGGGGTTGAAATAGGTATAGGACCGACAAAAATGGGCATCTTTGGAGGAGGCCTTTACCCAAACCGGGGTTCCAGTTAATTTATAAATAAAAATATATATATATACTAGCAGACCGGCCAAGCGTTGCTGTGGCTAAGGTTTTTGTTATATTACATAGTAGCAAACTATTCAAGGGAAACGGTAGGAGAACACCAGTCATGGGGACCATCATGCTTTTTTGGTGGTAATGCCATTAAATTGTAGCTTATGTGAAACGTTGGTACTTTCAACACAGCGCTATCTGTTAGAATTGTGACTGTCAAATAATATACAAATATTTTGCAATAACATAATATTGCGGGTATAAATTGAGATGTAAGCCTTCCTATCTTTTAAGTTAGATCAAACTGCAAACGGTGTGCAAATTTGATTGAAATCGGTTTAGTAGTTTAGGAGTCCATAGCGGACAAACAAGGTGACGCGTAATTTATATATAATAAGATTACTAACATAATCTAAGCTAACCTAATGACAAAATCATTATTTTTGGTTACTGTAATATAGCAACTACCAACTATTGTAAAAGAGGAAATAAAAAGGCTTATTATTATTAATTGTAGGGGAGTATGACTTAATACTTAATTAATAAAAATATTACAAGAATTAGGTAAACGAAAACTAAAAGAAGGCGGGCGAATATCACGCGGACATATAGCCGTTCAACAGGGCGGCTTAAATTTTCTCTAACAGATTTATAATTGTATATCTTAACTTTGAAAAGCTATGGTAGGACTACTAAGGTACTATTTAGCCACCACCATTGTATATTTTTTAGAATGAAAATGGGAGTGATGTAATGAAAACTAGTATTGTGGAATCAACAGCCCGTAAATGCGATGCAAACCGTGCTATTAAAGGAACACATTCGTTGTTATGTCTGATCGCCAGAAAGTCTAAAAATGAATACAAGGTATTTGTAATACATTCTAATATTTGAAATAAATATAACACATTCCTATATAATATAGAAAAATAATAGTAGGTTTTACAATTTACAAAATTATATCAAAAACCGAGTTTAATAATTTGCTTCAACATAAAAGTTTCCTGAAGGCGTAAAGCGCCTACGGTTATATTTTCTTTTTAATTTGTAATACTAATTTTACTGGATAACACGTAGGGATGTGACATTCTGCATAAAAAATCGATTTTTTATTAATCGATTATTTTTTTTAGCATGAAAAATCGATTAACAAATAATCGATTTTTCTTAAAAAAATAATCGATTTTTTTTATTAATCGATTTTTTCCTAATTTTTGAATTAATTTCAAAATAATCACCCTAAATATTTTATTTTTCATGTTTTTTTTAAAATTATAAATAAATAATAAAAATTATAAACACAAATTAACGTTTAAGAATAATCAAAATCGAAATTAACTTAATTTCGTTTTGATAGATTTTAGGTGAAATTTGATAAATGCTGAGTGTATGCCTTTTCAGAAGCACATTGCAGTATTTTTGTTGTCTTTTTAATTGTATGTAATCTTGTGCTGCTGAATAAATTTATTTTACTTTTAAATTATAGTGTTCCAATCAGTTTTATCATTCTTTCGATGTTTTACAAAAAAACATCAATGCATCGAGTATATCAATGCATCTTCAAAGAATCGGATTCAATGTATCGCATTGTAAACATCGTTGTATATCGAATATCCCTAATAGTTCGAGGTCCGGGTTATAAAAGACCAGACATAATGTCGGGAGGTGGCAGATAAAAAATCGACTATGATTGATTTTCTATTATAAAAATAATCGATTATTAATCGATTATTTTAAATATAAAAATCGCGTAAAAAAATCGATTTTTACTTTTTAAAAAATCGATTAAAATCGATTTTTTTAATAATCGATTATTTTTTCACATCCCTAATAACACGTTTTAAAGAAGGGTTACTTTTACCGGATTACAACATGATAACCACAACTATTTATTTTAATGCTAATTTGTAAGCACTGCAATAAGAGTTAATTTCTGATCGTAGTTATTTCCAGATGAATTCCGGAGGCCCAGTGCTGGTTTTACGTCACAAGAAAGTGTATCTCTTGGGTATTGCACTCGTCGATCGCATCTCTTTCGTGGTACCTGTAAACCACTATTATGGTTGGATCAATTATATTTTAAAACAATATTGCATTTTTTACTCAAGGTGTGACTGCTCAGTGCGTGGGAGATTATGTGGGACTCGCTATGGTGCAAACCCACTAAAACCCCAAGGCACCACCAACAATCGACCTTGGTTAGGTATTAACAGCAGAGGCATATTCGCTTCCCGACATGCCATGCGACGGTTGCGTCCGCTTGTGCACACCTATTGTTAGGTTGTAAAAATACTGGACACAGCAAGTATCCTTCACAGACTGGGTCATTGGCTTTTGTAGTAATAGCTAGGGGAGATCGGGTCCAGTACTTCCAGAGATTCAAATGCACAACCTTAGGGTCGAGAATCGATTAACGCTATGTCTAAATATGAATAGTAGGTACTGATACAAATTCTAGCATAAAACTTTCTCATGTCGATTATAAAATAGGCGTAATTTGACGTCATTAATAATTAAAGAGCCATTCAAAGTTACACAACTGATATTAATGGAAGGATGACTAGTGATTAACGACTTTCACTTGCTCTTAACTTTGCCTCGTTAAGCATTTTGTAACAACTTTTGAAATCATTGAAAATCTTTAAGGTTAAAACGCGTGTAATTTACTTTATGATATAACAATTAATGCATATTTATAGCTTTGTGGTATCGTGTTCACGGAATGCAGATAAAAAATAAATAACACTGGCATAATAACATAACTTTATATTTTATAACTGAAATCAATATTTTTCTCCACGACTCGGTAGTTAACGATATGGTTTATCCAATTACCTTTAAAATAGTATTCAAAACTAAAGTTTCAACTTGGTGACGATTGTAAGATGACTTAACATGTCTGTAGGAAAATATATTTTCAACAACGACTATGCTCCTTGCCCCACTTCTTCCGAATTTAGTTGTTAAAGTAATTTGTTTATTGGTATGACTTTTCAAGGGGAATAAGAATATGTCTTGTATTTTTTTTTGTCGCACAAAGGTTCAATGCAACCACAAAGATATTGAACCTGCACCTACCGCGATAAACCAGTGTCTTTGGAAAAAGCCTGAAACAATCGTTGGTATTTTTTTTTCTTTATGATGTCCGATAAACGCAGTTGTTGGGACTGCAAAGATTTTAAAATTCGAATGCCCTTATATTATTTATTACTAAAATTTATTGATATAATACTAAATCAAAAATTAAGCAACGTATATAACGCAAAATAACATTCTTTGAATCTAAACTTAAGAACCTGAAAAAATATAATATAATAACTTAAATATATCATTAAAAGGAGTCCCTTTAGGCAAGGTTCCGAAAATACTTGCAGCGTTACCCCATTGAATAGCTAGACTAATTATTTTTCCGAGGTAGCTGCCAGCTCTTCGATCTCGTGTGATGGTGACTAACCTTTTAGCAAATTCCTTAAAAAAAATATATATATTCCTTACATATGGTATGTTCCATATTCTATAGATAATTTATAGAATTTTTTTTTTAAAGATTTTACGGTCTTCATAGCCTTTATGATCATACTCGTAGACAACAGACTTTAAATCTGTCGAGATTAATGGCGCGAGCCGTTGTGGAAAATTCTTGCGTCACAGGAACATCGCAATATGACACAAACAGTATGCAGACTGATATCAACGTTTCGCATCATTGCATCGCGTATCAAGTGAAATTTCCACGTGACGTCAGACGAAGAAAGTCGCGGTCGGCGGTCAGTCGGCATCAGGGCTCCGGAGCAGACGCACGCGTCATGGTCTAAGCATGTCGTTCCGTAGGCTTCTCACCGCGATGCGATCGGCCAGAGACGCTTTGAACCGCGGCGCGCCTATGGATGGGCTTCTGAAGTCGTTGCTATCAGTGATTGTGATATGTTGTATTGCTGTTTCATCACCGCAAACTGCTTCAGCGAAGCCCTTCACTTTCAGCTTACCAGCGAGCTGGTCATTAGCAGGTGGGTTTGGACGGGTCTGGCTACTGAATTTCTCATTTAAATATTATAAGCTTCATACAAAAACTTGATTAATATTTAAAAGACATTGTGAAAATCATACTCATAAGTTATACATTTAATTTGACTACGAAAGTAGTTTTTCACAAGAACATAGGAAAACCTCTGAAAACTTTTCATTTGGGTATATGCTATTGGGTTCTTAATTACACGATATTTCTATACCTCCACTATCTCCTTAATTTTATATTAAGGAGATAGTTGTTAGATGTTAAAACTGTAAAAACCATAATGTAACAACTTTTAAAATTATTTAGATAGGTATTCTTGATATATCCTGTTGCGTGATAATATTAAGTTTAGAATAATTTTCATTCCCACATTTCGTTCTAAAGCCGAAAAGTACAGAACAGATGGTTTTAACCACTCCCAATGACTTTGACCATTTTCTTATCGTCCCTCGTAATACATGGATAAATTTATACTGCAGCTAATAAAGTCACTTGTAGGAGTCTATCGATTTTGGCAAGCTCAGAAAGTAGTCTGAAAACTTACAGAGCATTACATAATTAATGAAGCGGTGTAACGGAAACAGTTTCGCCGAAGCTTAAAATTTTTAACAAGGTATTTTACTTTCTGCTTGTGCTGCAGCGCTGTAATTTAATTTGAAGTGTCTCACTAACGAATATTTTATATGCCTTTGTTATTTAATTAAAATAATGGGACAATTCTTCGCAGCCTAGATTTTCGTTAGAATCTGTTGATAGATCATTCTATCTGTGAATTTTTATAATATAGATGAGGCCATACATTCATGAAATAAGAACGAACAGGGCTTATATTTTTAGTTGTTCTGTGTGTGCTTTACAATTATTTAACATGTGCTTCAGGATTGGTGGGCACAGTGGGTGCCCGATCAGACAGCATAGATCGTAAGGAAGCTGGTGTGAAGCCGTACTCCGGCCGTCGCGTGAGCAATGACACCCTTCGTATGATTTACTTCCACGATCAGACTGTGGCTGTAGTGGAGCTGGGGGAGGAAAAGCTACTGCTCAACTGCGAGCTTATCGAGACTTAGTGAGTACTACTTTATAATTGTTTTATAAATCAAGTAACGCTTGGTCGATGAACCATGTTGTCATCTGATGCTCACTTTTATGATATTTATTTGGAATTATCTTCTCGTTCTAAGGCTGATAGAATAACAGTAGATATTATAGATATAAGCTAAAATAAAAGCTTCTACATTCATGATTCAAAATTCTTTTTCGAATATTTTAAAAGACTACGACAGTAAAATCCGGTTCCAATATAATATTGCTCATTTAAAATAGAAATATTGTTATCGTTATCATAGAATAATAACATTCTATTTCTTTATTATGTGGTCGTGGTAATAGTAGGTGATTTATTTGCCCAGTAATGTGTTGAGCGATGTTCTTTTCGTAAGGTCCCCCATGTTGCAGACCGTTTCCAACGAGAATATTCAATTAAATAATTGATATGATTCATATAAAACGCGATGATTCAAATCCAAACCATCTTCTCAACGGTTATATTCAAGGTATTTCACATATAACCGATTGTTTAAATATTAAATTCAAATATATGCTACAACCAACCAAGGTACCAAGGTGTAGATTGAATAGCGTAAAAGTTGTAAAAAGCTTTTCACAGAAATGAAGATTTTTCTCTATAAACTGACATAAGTGCGGTTAATATAGATATCCTTAACTAGTTAGTACCTAAAGGCTAGTTTTAAGTTCACAAAGTACGAAGGTGTAGGGCGATTACAACGCGCGTAGCAAGGACGCGCTGAATTATTTAGCTGCCTATTACATTCAAGGTTCAGACTTAATCTGCTTTATATTCCATACGTGTATACAACGTCTTACACACTCAATAGATGATTCAAGTCAGGGCCGGCAAGAAAATCGAGATTTATTACTCGTATTTTCTACTGTATTCATTTAAAGCGCAAACGGACACTTTTCTACGTATATATGTTTTACTCTAATGTTCCTTGTTAAAATAACATAAAAATGGATAATATCCTGTGATTTCCATTGACAAGATTTATCTCGTAATGTGACATAAGTCTATTATGCGCACGCAACCAGTTTTCAATTTTACCTATCATTTCACTGTCGCCGTTTACTATTGCGTGCACTTGACATTGTAATCTTTATGAATAGAAAAATATTGTATTTTTTCTATGATCTATGTTACTATCTACAGAGTATGTAGACCTATGTTTAAGGGTTGTAATGTAGAATTTAACATGAAGAGATCCTAACAACCAAACAAGAAATATATTTTTGTAGTTGCAAAGATTGTGTATTATCTTACTACAATTAAAAATTAAATAAAAACGTAAAAAAAGCAACGGCGAGATATGCCGGCTCATCACTATTATTTAATATACTAAACTAAATATTTATTTATTTAACAAATACATATTTTTATGTAAGAAGTATTAAGCAAGTAATAAAGAGACCCAAACGTAATAGCTTAAATTGATCGTGAACTCATATGTCATATCTACCTTTGCTTTTACTATCAATTGACTAACGCACATTTAAATGTGAGAGGCGAAATCTCCCCTCTCTTTCCTGTAACTGTAAGAAGTAATAAGAGCATCCTTTGTCAAATCTTCCGAATGACAATACGAAGTTCATTGACGGATGTCGGCCAAATAAATGGCCGTTGTCGGGCGAAACTGTTGGTTTCATTTTCAATGAACTTGTTATTAAGACCACTGACCCGGCTCACATGAGTACATTTGTAGAAAGATTAATTAAATTAAACTCTATTAATTGTTATGTAGCGTAGAGTACCTATCTGTGGTACATTATTGTGTATATCTGTAAGTAATAATGTTCGCAAAGTATTACGATACAGAGACGTGTCATGGTCGAAAGTCCAAGAACGTCGCTTGACTCTAACTTTTTTCGATCAACGATTTGGTAATCACACACTTAACTAATATTTTTACTAAAACTAATTTCGAATTATTTTGTTTGACTTCTTCTGAATTGGAAATATTTCTATCGTTCCAACAGCACTTACCATAGAGCATTTATAGTGGAATATAAATTTTAAAGGCCTTTGAAAGGCCGCTGTATTGTTTTTTCAACAAACTTGCGGAAAAGCAGACATAAAAGGCAGATCACATTAATCTCATTAGTGATTGCAATGTGCAGTAGTTATGTACTTTATATTGGCTTCTCTGAAGTGCATAATGGAAGAATGCGACACTACTCGTTATCCGATCACGTTGCCACTTCTGCCTATGCACGTTTTTATGCATCGGGCTTTAAAAAGATTTTCATTTTATAGCCTTACTCCAATTTGCGATATTATATTTTTTCGCAATTTTGCAGTTTTTAACGCTTTAAAACTCTCTGGAAATTTTGTAAACCTGTTAAGTAAAGTGTTATCAGTTGTATCGATAGATGAGAATCAGTGGGAGCTAAATTTAGCGTTGTATCCAGCCTCCCAATATGACACTAAATAGTATCTACCTATTTGCTAAGCTTTAAAATTAAACTTCTTTTGATTGCACAAAAATGCCCATTTTTTTATTTTATATCCATGTATTTAGAAAATAGAACTGCATTCAGGTGACGATTATTAAACTATGTAATAATATTTATGAAAAATACTAGTAAATTTACTAAATAACCGGAAAAGCGCAAGGATTTAAATCCTCGTACAGTAGTGTTGCAGTAACATTAATATTCTGTTGATCCTCTAGGCTCCGCAGTCTGGACTTCAGCCAGGAACGGTGACAATAACTTTATCAGGTCAAGGGCGATATATACAAACTTTTTCTAACGACGTGAAAACTAAAACATATTAATACGTTCAAAAATACAGTATATCTAAAACATTGAAATGTATTAATATTTAAAATATTAGTATAATTATATATTTCGGAACTGGAAAATTAAATTTTAAATTTTTTATTACATTAAATTAATGAAATAAAATCCTTCCAAGTTGTGCATATGTACCACACATTAATAATGGTGGTATTACTAATAAATTTTCTTGCTGAATACTTTTTATTCTGTAATAACGAGTCGGTCGTACACTTAGCGTATAAATCCGGTAAATTTTGATACTTCTCTCGGTTGGGTTTACAATTGCTGCATACAGGTCAAGGGCCGAGGGTGCAGGCTTCATTTAGACTGGCCTATTTACTTTGTCTATTTATACACCTTTGTGCTACGGAAATAGATGTGATATTTTATCAAGCACAAAGCAGACTATCGCTACGTCAGATATGAGCTACATTTGAAATTTAATCAATATAACTAATATATACGCCTAAATGTAAAAAAAAACATTATTATATTTATATTTTTTTTAAAAATCGTTTTATTTTGGATTAAATACAACACACTACCATACGGCAGACAGCGTCTGAAATTTTTTCGGCAGAGGTTTTACAACTGTGTGTGTATAAACATCGTGGAATTGTTGTGTATCTAGAAGAGAAGAGGCACACAAGGGGAAGGTTGGAGAAGGGGGAGGGGCGCGATCATTGATTCAATCATTGAACAATTGTCGCATCGGAATATGCGCAGGATTGTCACTATGCACTACTACAGTTAATTTTTTCGCTAACGATTTTGCTATGAATTAAAAATACAATATAATTAAAATTATTTTATATCGGAGGAAGAGGTGATTATGAAAACCAATTTGTTTGTGTAAAGATGCAGATTACTACAAGAAGTTAGTGTTTATACTAATATACCTAATTATTATTCTTAATTGCAATTCTTAAATGAATAATAAATTACGTAGACTATTATAATATTTGACCCACTTTTCTTTCGTTACAGTTGCATAATATGTACTTACATTATATGGAATCAATCGTTATTGTTACGTAATTATGCTAATTAGAGATATAATGATTAATTAACAACTGTTAGTGTAAAATAACGGATACGAATCATTATGTGTTTAGTTTATAATCTATAGCACTTAATCTATTTCAAGTGTGGTGTATAAATATAGTAAGGTGAGCAGTTTATCAGCGTGCTACTCTCATCCCTGAGAGTGTACGTTCCCCGGCTGTGCACCAATGGACTTTCTGTCTATGCGCGCAATTAACACTCGCTCGTACGGCGAAGATAACACACCGTGAGGAAACCGGCTTGCCTTAAACCCAAAAAGCTGACTGCGTGTGTCGAGCATAGAAGTATGACGATCTACGCACTATTAGACAGAAAACAAATGATGACGAATCTGATACAGAAATCTGTGGCACAGGCTTAAAGCGTGGTTGTAGCGCTAACGATTTTTTGTATTAAACGAGATAGCTTTAAGTATTTTAATTCGGTCCCTGGTTTTTCTCTGTTTCAGTACCTTCAGTTAATTTATAAGTTAACAATTACAAAAAAACATTGCATGAATCGTCCAGCAAATCGGCAAATCGTCCTCGCGAGACACAAATTACGTCAAACGAATAACAGCACGTGAACCGACGGGGTCTTGTCTGACAGGCAAAACTACAACAACAAAGTATTATTAATATCACAATTTAAGGTTGACGTCATAATTTTCTGCTGTGGCTTATGTAGCTCTCTATATTCGGTAGGATATGTATTCTTTATTTCTGATTGTAAATACAATTAAGCCGCGACTTCCTTCGCGTAGTTACGTTCCCTTGACAAGGATCTTCGATTTTTTTAATAGAACAGGGGCAAAACGGGCAGGAGACTCATCTGATGTTATGTGATACCGCCGCCCATGGACACTCAATGCCAGAGGGCTCGCGAGAGCGTTGCCGGCCTCTTAACGCAGAAGCGTGTGGAACTCCCCTGGAGTATTCGCAGAAGTAATACGTTCAAAACGTATATGGCGAGAAGTAACTTTGCCATACTCATTTTTCGTAGAATGTTCCATGAACTTCATTAATATGTGTATCTATTACAAGGCTGTATTTTACTGTAATTTGCGGTTGCATTTCTGCTTTATAAAAAACTAATAATTACTTGTTAACGTTCTTACTAGCAAGCCTAATTTCGTATTTTAAACAGCTTTGTCTCATTTACATTTCGA